GAGGCAGCCACAGTCCTGGGCATCGGGTACCTGGTGATGGGACCAGGCCGAGGCTGGGCCGGGGCATGGTCCTGCAGGTGGGCCCAACTTGGCGAAGCCTGTGGCTGGGCAGGGCAGGGCTGTGGGGAGCTGGAGACCAGCCCTGCTGTGGCATTGCTGGGGCAGGGGCTGATGGCCCTGGGGGCGCTGACATGGGGTCCTGGGGCATGGGCAGGTTGGGGGGAGCCCTGGGGGACAGAGAGGGCTAAGTGATGAGTGCAAGTTACAGTCTCTACTGGTAACTATTGGTCTGCAAAGTCATTTTTAAAATAGGGTTTGAAGTCTAAGGTGAGATTACTTCGGGAAGCAGTTTGAAACAATTTAAGAAGAAAAAAAAAGCTTCTTTAGTAGTTAAAAAGTTAATATCACAGATCGATATATAATCATCAGATGAGTTGGTCTATCATAGAAGCTAAGACCTACTGAAAGACATTTTCAGTAATGTTTTCATAGTTCTAGTTAAAACCTCTGATACAGAAATCAGAGCTGTGTTTTAATGTTTGGCATATTTCCCTTGTGTTTCTTGTCACTGCTCATTGCTCATCTCAACATTATGAGTAATCGTGTTTCATTTGCAATGTGTTTATGTTTCTTTTTAAATTAAGAGATTCCCACAACATTCCAACTCTCTATTTCTGACTGGCACAGCAGGGGAAAAAATAACACCACATTTTGTGTTTATCTAAGCTATTCACTCACATTATTACAGTATGTGAATGTCTCATCCTCTGTTGTATACATGTTCTTGCAGTAGTCATTGGCAGAGGGGGTGGCATCTCGTTGAAGTGAAATGTCCACACCCTTTGTAGGGATCTGGGTTGAGATGACTTCCCCAGGTCACACGAGTTAAGTCTGAACTGGTGAATGGAATATGGATTGGACTGAGTCTGCATTGCTTAGCGGCATGCCCCTGTCTGTCAAATTAATCTGAAAGATAAATAGTTACAGCAGTCTCGAGTAGAGAGAGAGAGTACGCTATTGTCCAGCTAGATTTTTCTCCCTTGCTGTCTTTTATAAGTTATTGTAGACATAGCTACAGAAATACAGTCTCCCAAACCACGTATTTGTAACCTAAGCAGTGAATCACATTTGTTCTAATTAGAAATGCTTTTGTGGAATAAACCACCTGTTGTGGAGGTGATTTCGTAGTACATAGGGAAAAGAAAGAAGTGTGCCATGCTCAGGGACACGAATCTTTCATTAACCTGGTAGTCATTGTCTTAAGGAGAGATTTCCAGGGGTTCTTTCAGCATAACACATACTGCAAATAAGTGTTTGAGAGAAGCCTTGATATTTTTCTACTTGGGCCAATTTGTACTGAGATGGAAGAATTTAAGAAGACAAACAGTTTTTTAATCTTTACTTTACAGAAAATCTGAAATATAAACCAACTGACAAAGGAAAAGCACTTTGTTATGCAGAAGTGCTATGCAAAATCCTCCTATGTGATTTTAAGATTCAGCATTAGAAATTAAAAGGCATAAATCAAAGTGTTATATTTCAAAGAATGTAGGAAATATCAGGAAGTAGGAGAGCAAGCACTTTTCTTAGCTTTCTCGTGTTTTCAATTGCTTCCTTACAACTGCAGTATAAAAGACCCGATTGTAAATTGAAGGCTTTTAGTGTTTATTAATACCCAGATAATGTTCTTCTAATGACATTCCCTGCTGCATTTTTTGATTGAAGTTTTTTGGGTAACATGATGTTTAGCATGTATAACATATAATTGGTTGGCCATGCAATCAGCTGAGAATCTTTTGTGTTTCTTAACTTTTATTACCTGTTAGATGTAAATACCTGCTAGATGTAAAAACCCTCTGACTCAAAATGTACCTGGATTTTCTTCACTGCTGAAAAGTACAAATAGTTGTTTCTTTGCAACAAAAAATATCTAATGTTATTAATTTTCCCAAATCTTCCATGCATTTCATGCTATGACAGTGAGTTTCTGAATGTGCCTTTCTGCAGTATGGTATTGGAATGCCACGTCTATGTTGATATTTGGGGTTTTTTAAGAAAGTGTACTTCTTAAATTTGTCATTTTCCTGGGCATACAAATATTCTCCTGATTTTCTTTTTTTTTTTCCCCACCCTTAAATTAGAGACAATCTTTCTGAGGCTAATGTTAACATTTGCAAACAACAACACTTACGAATCATTTTATCAAGAAAGGAACCTGCAGCAAAAGAAAAACAATTCTGATGGTTTCTGAACAATTAGAATACCAGCAAACCAGGGTTTAAATACCAGAATACCTACTATTTTTGTCTTTAGGAATAAATCACTTCAGAGGACATTTTGATTTTATAGGAAGTTTGGATCCCTGTCATTTTACATTGAGTGAATTATTCCTTTGGTAATAGAATACAGTATTATTCTGAGGATAAGAAGACATGTAACCAGAATTTTGCCCATCACTACTGTAATGGAAAGGTGTAAGACTGTCCTGCTGTCCTATAAAAGCAAAGCCAAACAGACGCTTTGTTTCTTTCTTTCTACCATTTTCAAAATTAAAAAAAAAAAAAAATGAGTCCACAGTTGTGACCCAGTTTTGTTTTGGTTATTTGGTCAGATCTTGTGGCTCAGATAAGTATATGGTACATTGACTGAAGTTATGCTGAAGTTTATATGAGCTGACGATCTTAATTTTATTAACTTCCCCCTCCCAAACCCCCCTACGGGACAAGATATAGATTATGTGTGACACCATAATTTCATAGATTTAATACGTGAGAGGAAAATTACATTAAGACCCATATGCTTACTCTTTTACAGATAGCAAGCTAGATAGTTTTAAAGGCAAGACAAAGACCTGGCAAAAAAAAGGTACAAGGAGAGAGTGAGAAAAGAGCAGCACCTGTGTATCTTATGATTTAAGTCAGAAAAAAAGTTGTTTTATACCTCCAAAAGTCTTGTTTTCTCTTTATCCAGCCCAAATGGTTTCTGAACTGAGAATGGAAAGGGGTCTGGAAACTGACAGCTTGTGTTCTGTTAATTAAGTATAATATCTGACATTCTGCTTCTGCTTTGCTCAGATTCTGTATAGAAACTTAGTAATGCCACATTGCAGATACTGAGAGATAGTGAGGGCAGTGGGATAAGAATAAGAATGAGTGAGTTCTTAAAACCAGTTTCCCTTCTGATTTAACATCACAATATAACTGCACAATGCTGAGTCTGTTCATTTCTGCATTATCATTTTGTTCTCATTGTGCACCTCAATAAATACATTCTGTTCTGTCATTTTAAAGAAAAAAAAAACCACAAAGCCTCTCAATCTGTGAAAAGATCACCCCTCCTTCTCAGAGAACACATGTTCATTTTTAATCTAAATGGGCAATTCTTTAAAGTCAAGTTAGAAGCACTGAGACTTAATGGGTAGCTTTTTGATGTTATCTTTTAATACAGCAGGGTGCTTAGTAACTGTTCCTTCCCACCCCCCCAATAAATATAAGCTTTCTTCTACTCAAGGAGAGTTATAATATACTTAACATATTTTATAGCACAAAATGTGTGTTAGGAACAATGAAAATGCTGGACATATCAGTCGAAGTTCTTTATTATAAATAATTTAAATATAAGCAAATTAGGTGACTTTCTAATTAAGAACAAACAAACAAAGCCCAGATAAAATGGCAGTGGTTTGTTGAGGGATAGAGTAATCTTGGATAGACCTCTGTCCCTGCTGCTCTATGCAGTTTCCTTTTGTAGTAAATGGTGCTGTCCTCAGGGCCACAGAAGATAACATGGGTGGTGGGACAGAGCTACCATCATTGAAGCAAACAATCCTCAGTGTGACTGCTTCAGGCTTAGGGCTTAAGGCAGAGTTTCTAGCAGTGAGTGCCGTAAGATAACTACTATGACTAAAACCAAACCAAAATGAAATAAAACCCACCCCAGTTGCTAGAATATTCTTGACTTAGAGAAGTTTTCTAGAATGGACCTAGAACTCAAGAAATTCCAGCTTAAAAAATGAACTCTGCTGGGTGGAAATGACCCTGAACAAAATGGTTGACTTGCCAGAAATAGCTCATGAGAGATTACAGCAAGAGCTGGGAAGGTTAAAAACAAAGTAGAATGATGCTAAGAGTAATATTATAGTTTTTATATCTTATGTGCAATAACCTTTCATGAAATTTAATATATCATTTTATATGACTTTATGTGTATATGTTCTACAGCTGCACTCCAATTCCGACAAAGGTGATGGATCAGTCAAATACATCCTCACTGGAGAAGGGGCAGGAACTATATTTATTATTGATGACACGACTGGCGACATCCATTCAACCAAAAGCCTAGATCGAGAGCAGAAGACACACTATGTGCTTCATGCCCAAGCTATTGATAGACGGACAAACAAGCCACTTGAGCCTGAATCTGAATTCATTATCAAAGTGCAGGATATCAACGACAATGCACCAAAATTTACAGATGGACCGTACATTGTTACTGTGCCAGAGATGTCTGAAATGGGTAAGGAAAACAAATTGTTCTATTCAACAATCTTTTAATAAGTGAAAATTAATCAGAATTAAACAAATATAAAGAAATGGTAGTTTTCTAGATTATTTTAGACCAAGGTGTCATATGTTTATTTACTTTTATTAAGTTTCTTATAAAGTGAAGTTCAAAACAGTCCTGATCTTTGGTTTTCCCTGTTAGAAATGTAGTTCAGATAGTTTTACTCTTCAGGGTGCTACATTATACAGTCAATTTTATTTATTTATTTCTTCTCTGGTGTTGAAATTAGTTTATAACTTTCCTGTAATACCACAACATCAAAGCTACGTAACTAGGCTAGGACAGACAGATGGGAATACAACTTTTGTGCTAGATAATTTTTTGAGAAAGGTTAACTATCATGACTGGTCTTTGTGAAATATATCTGCTGCTTTTTGTTACTGAATGGACAGTACACATAGTTACCTCATGAACACACGCTTTTCCCTTTCACCCCAAATCCCTACATACCCCATCTAAGAAACAACCTTCAAGTCCAAGATGTGTCAAACTTTCCCTAGTGAAAAGTAGATAATTTGTTCTTTTCTCATTGCTCTTTGTCTAATAAGGTGATACACTTTAACTTCTGCAGAGTAGAATTTTAAAAATTAAAAGGGAAAAATATTAAAATACATGTAGTTATTCAGCTCTCATAACAATATTGATCATATATATGAGAATGAATATTGTCACTGACTCTTAATGGTTTGTCATCATTCGATCACTTTGAATGGTAATGATAACTCATATAAGTAGATCAGAAAATAGCAGTAGTGTTTTGTTCCATACTTGAAAGTCACATACGGTATTTGGTTAATACAGTTATTTTGGATGAGAAGGTACCTTGTGTAACTTTCCTGATGTAGACAGGTGAAATTAATTTTAAACTGGGAATCTGCATGCGGTTCGTCTTCTGTGGTACCACCTGACATTATTCTGAGTTCAGACACACATGGTTGTGTGATGAGGGAAGTTTAATCTGTTTGTGGAAGTCTGCATACTGTTTGAACTGCATACAGTTTCACAATGCACAAGGAAATATTTAACATGGAGAGACTAAACAGGCCAAAACCACAGCTTCCATTACAGATGTGCATGGTGAAAACTGCATTCCAAACACATCTACAGTTCTTCTCTTGTGTATACAAATGAAGTGTGGCATATGAAATATTTGCAAACATGTAGTAATCATACCAGTCCTGGAAAGACCAAAATATATTAAATCTTACTCCTGAACCATGGAGTTCAGAGCTGTGACAGTTGGGAAGCAGAGACTTTTGCACCAGTGGCTTCTTCATTGACCTAAAGGCTGTTAATCTTGTATAAAGTAGAGAATAAATGTCCTTTCCTATCTACCATGCAAAATCAGGTTGTTAAATGGACTCTCAAGCTCATGTTTTGAAAGGATATAAAATATCACGTTTTAAAAGGATATAAAAATTTCCCCCATTCTCTTCCTCTGACTTTTTTACTGCCTCCTCATTCTTTATCTCACTGCTACTGCCACTACACTGACACATAGGAATAGTTTCTTGATTTTCTTCTCGAAATGACCTCCATACTTGATGTTCTGAAAAATAATCTACCTGTGTGCATTGTAATTGTCTTGTTCTAATACTTTGTTCTTCATAGGTACTTCTAGCACCTTTCTCCCTTTCCAGTCTCCTTTCCACCTCTCCCTTTTTGGACTCTTCCAAGTCCTCCCCCAGTGTGCTATTTCAGATGTCTCTCCAGCTGTGGAGAGCTCTAAGCCTTTTTTCCTGTGGTCTGTCTTGCAACAAGGATACATGAAGGGGAAAACATCTTTCATCTCCACTTACTTCCTTCTTTCTTCTTCTTTCATAGGTCATTGTTCCCATATTACCCTTCAACTTCACTTTTATGAGTTTTCTTCTTTCCATAGTCTGTTTCCCTCTAACTGGGAATTGTTACCTCATCTTTGTTTGTAATTTCTATTTCCCCCTCCTTCCACATTTTATTATCATTATTTATTAACATTATTATTTCTAATAGCTTTTTCTGGGTCTTTACCAGAAGAACAGTCTTTATTAGCCATTCTTGTTTCATCATTATCTAGCTAATAAAGATTTTCAGATTATAGATCAAATATATTTTCATTCCTTAAAATAATTTGCAAATTGTACATTGTTCTCTTAAACCATAGCTTCCTCTCAAATACTGACTTCCTTGATCTCATCTTTTGCTTCTCAGAGCTAAAAACACATAGGTCTCCATACCATCTACACAATGATGCTAGTGTGTATAACAGGACATGGTTTTATTATAGAGTTCCCTATTTTAACCATCTAAGCATACTATTGCAAATATAATTCTGAAGAGAAATTTATGGAAGTACAGAAAGGCATATGTCATAACACCAGGACTATTTAAGCAATACACCATTGTAGGAACTATTACAGTGAGGGGATAGAGCTCCCAGCAAGAATATTGTGGGCCTGTATGAAAACTCTTCCGTTGTCTTCAATAATTCACTGTAGCACAAAGCTTTACTGTTGCAGCTCATTTCTGTAGCATCTAAGCTGTTACCTCAGTTGTCTCTTGTCACAGTACAGCCTGACTTGACATGAAATTAATTTCCTTTATCAACTGTCTCCACAAATGCATAACTCTGTCTTCCTCTTTCTTCAGTTTCGTTTGTCTTTAATGGAGACCATTTTAATTCCTTGATTATTTCCTTCCCGTGTGGAAGCCTTTTATTTTCTGCATAGGAGAAAAGACAGTGGAAATGAAATCAATGTTATCCTCAAAGTCAAAAGCAGCTAATGGAATTGGGTTTTATTTGTTTCTTCTATTTATAAAAATTATCTTTTTTTCATCCTCTCAAAATGTAGTATTCTTACACAGACATTAGTCATAATTCTGTAGTAGTCTTAGTCTTGGTATTACTGTACAACTATGTTATACAAGTTACTGTTTTCCAAAAAACAGTTAGTCTGGAATGGCATTTTTGGTTATAAAACAGTGAATTATGCTAAACCAAGGAAGTTTTAGTGATAAAGCATTAATGAGTATGTTATATAAATTAATTTTTTTGCTAGTTGTACCTGAGGTAAATCACTAAAATAGTATTCCACAAAACTTTCCTGTTGTGTAAATAAAACAGAATTTTCATATCCTGCCATCTGCTGTAGGCATACATTATGTTTTCATTGCAATGTTATGAACATTTTTTTTTCCGTATTGATTTGTTGTGTTTGTTGCATATTGAAAAGATTTTATTGCTGCAGTCTCAGGAAGACTAATTCTGTTACTGCTTCCACAGGATACTCTTTCTGTCAGATAATAGAGATCCCTATGCCAGGTTTATTCGTTCTGTGGTTAGCATGTTTTTTGACATTTAGCTGTGGAGTCTATACATAGCTGAACTTCCTGTTGCTATTTGATGAATTTCTAAGGATGTTTCACAACTTTAAAAATGTCTTCTGCTTTTTTACATGGTCATTTAAAGAACTTTCAATGTTACTGCCTCTCCATAACAGCCCTTGTGCTGAGTGGCATGTGGTATTTTTGATCTCCATTATGCTGTTTATTTTCAGCAGCAGGTTCCTGTCTGTCTCCTCAAGAAGTTAGCTGGTATTTTTCCTACGAGTTGAGCCTTTCTTGATATACTTGTAAAAGCTGTAGGACCTTTATGGCTTTTCTTTTGTTTAGGTTACTGATGAGATAGTACAGGTAAGTTTTGTTAAATTATTTGCCCAATAGTAGATCACAGTGTTCACTGTGGCATGAAGTGAAGATATTATTTATGCTTTATGTACTATGCTGAAAGACCTGAAAGAAAACACCTATTCCTTGCCTTCATTTAATGTTTTTCCTAAAAGTTGGCTCAAGAACTAAGGTTTATATCTGAAATGATTTCTTCTGCAGTGTAAAAAAAACAGATTTATTGAGAGCTATAACTGTGCTTTGTTTTAAGGTTTATAAGTCATTGTTATCTAAATGTGAAAGGAAATAAAAACATTTTTCAATCAGTAAAAGCTTTCCATATCTGCTTATTTTCAGGTAGCTTCAAAATGACTGAAATACTGCATAATAAATTTTCTAGTGTTGAGGTCATGCATAAGAAAAGTATTCCAAATAAATTCTGCCTAGAAAATTAGTAGACCTACCAGACTTTTCTGAACTTCTTTCCAGGGTATTATGTGAGGTAGTCATAATTTCAGATAAGCTGAAAGACAATATTCATGGTGTTCATAAATAAGATTTGTATGAGAAATGTCTATTTGTTGTCTTGTGTTTTTGATTTTTGTCTTCTAATGAAGATAGCTCACAAAAAAAAAATTGAGGTTTTCTACAATGAGGACATGGATCAGTAATAAAGTGACTGGACTCAAAGAGTTGATTTCCTCGTGAAATCGGTATTTTCTAATGAAAGAAACTAAAACGTGTTGACTTGTTAGTGTTTTAAGACAATTTTAAGAATTAGTTTAGTTAGGCAGGAAATCCCTGTGTTCATTAAACTTCACCTTTTTTTCACTTCTTTTACTTTTTGTTAAATATTGATCTATTGGAGATTTTAACAGTGCAGCAAACTATGGAAAATCATGCATACAGATTTGCATTCTCAACAGACATTTTATCGAACTGCCTCATTAAACTTTAAAAATTTCTCTTCAGAGAGATATATAGAAGTATTTCCCTTCAGCTTTTCTTTGATGTATAACTTTACAAATTTTTTATTGTAAACATATTTAAAAAAATAGAAAAAACAAAAGATATTTTGAAATAAAACTACATTTTGGTTTCTCAAGTGAAATTATCCTTATTTTTGATAACAGAAAAAAGGGAAAGCTTACAGAGTGGTGTTCAGAGCATGCAGACATATTTTATAGCTCTGTATAAAGCATTAGTGAAGAAAACAGAATTCCCAATATGTAACCTCTAAACTGTAGTGGGAAATCATGTGGAATGGTAGTTGTAATCTGAATAAAGAAAGCTTCCACTTTGAGAAGACAAAAGTGTTTTTTATTGTCTAACTGGAATGTCAAAATGCTTTCATAGCAAAATTTTGAGCTTTTCTTGACAGGCACTTTCACAGTAGGTTAGTGAATAAAGTGTGGAAGGTATGCCTCAGGGTCTGATGTTCGTATCTGTTCTGAGGTCTCCAGGGAAACTAGATCCTTGTTTTTTGTATTAGATTATTTTCTTCAGAATTGTTAACGTTAAAAATAGCAAGGCAGCTGTACTGTATACTTTTCCAGCTAAACCCTTCATTACACATAGCTCAACAGCAAAAACTGATGCTGTATCTGAATGGTACAAATATATTTGGCACCATGGTTTGTCTGTCATGTTGATGAGCTGAATGTTGCTAACTTTGAAGGGAGTAAGTGGAAGGTAAAGGTACCCTCTTTACCTTTTTTCTCACAAGGCATTCTAACCCACAGCTTTCACAAGCTGCTTTTTCTCTGTGCTCAGCAAATCAGGCAAGAGTTAAGCAGAAGGCCAGTATGGGGATATCTTATAAGATGCTGAGGGTGCTTGTGTAATACAGTGAAAAGGTTAAGCATCTGCTGAGCTACATTGCACTGAATGAGGGTTTGAGAGGTGAGGTGGGGGGTTGAGTTAAAACTTGTGATTCTGAGTGTTCTTTTAGATGGAAAGAGAACACTTTGGCACTATTCAGCGACACCAAATTACTATTATCAAGTGTTTCTTCGGAGAGAGATACAGATGTATTAGAAAATCACTGTGGAGGATTTTAAGGCATAATAGCATTCCATTCCTACCAAAATGACCTGCCAGCTGCTTATGTGAGATATCACCTTTCACTAGCTCTAGTTCTTTGGCCCACATCAATGAGCAATACAAGCACTCAGATTCTATCCCCTAACATTTAAAATAAGGAGAGGAGAGAAGAAATCTCTGAAGAATGAAAGAACCATGAAATCTCAATATTTTTGGTATTTTCTTCTTCTGAAATAGCCAAAATCTGTTCATCCATTCCAAAATCTGCCTTGATTTTCTAGAAGTCTGGGGAAATGTGCAAATGAGAACTGAAGATTGTTACACAAGGTTGACAACTGCTGGTAACTGTTTTCCTGGAAGCACAAAAATCTATAGATTAAAAAGGTACAGAAGTTGTCCAGCAGTCTGGGTAGCAAACTCTGGTAGGTGACTGACTATTCCTATTGGCTGAGTATGTTTTTGTTGTATGCAGTTAAGAAAATAAAAACATTGTGTATCAGTAACACATTTATTAATCTTTAATGATTGCACAAGATTCCAACAGAAAATAATGAAGCCGTGAAGAAAGGTAAACCAACAAATCAGTGTGGATAGGCCTTCACCCTTGAATGCAACACGTTTAACTAGAAGACAGAAAGGTCACAGCTTTTCCACCTCAAGTTAGACATTATTGCCAAACTGGGCTACAGAAATATATCATTACAGTATTTAGATAAGCTGTAGAATAGGGGGGAAAATCCAATTTCTGTTCTTTGAAGTGACCCGATGTGGTTTGCAAGAACTCTTATTCTAAGTTTAGATAGCAAATAAATATGACTGAATAGATTCCTGGAACATTTTAAGAAAATTACACTAACTTTAGTTCATATTTGTTTACCTTGCCACATAAACCCAAATACAGTAATTTAGTCAACTTTACTGTTAACACCTGAATAACTATGAACAGACTGCTAGCTCCAGCTTGATTCTATTACAATATTCGACTTCAAATTCATCAAGGTATTCTTACATCTGCTGTGTAAATATATTTATCTATGAGATGGTTTGCATTTGGGCTATTCAGAGACCAGAAGACATGATATTTCAGTATGCAGACCTATTTGCTGTACCTTTTACTAAATCTGCAGTAGAGATACAAAAAGCAACTTTTGGTGTCCCAGTTAGTGTAGCACAAACAAATGAATAGTTTCTCAAACAGTGAAGAATCCAAATCTGCAAAGATTTGCATGCTTGCTTTGCTGTACTCAAAGTGAGACTCCAGGATTTTAGGTATTTCTGTTCCCGGTGTGGACACTAACAACTGATCTATGAAGTTAAATTGTTGGAACTGAGGAGCCAACATCCACACCATATGTTTTTGGGAAGTCTTATTTCAGACCATCTCTTGTCTGGTCTCTGAGACTAAATGCCCATTAGCAGTCAGAATAGATCAGATGTGCTGCTCAAGCACATCTTCTGGTTTAGTTTCATCTGAAGGAATCTTGTTAGCATGCTCTGAAACTGTTCCATGAAGCAAATCAAAGTGCAACAAGTGGGGGAGATCAAGAGATTCAATTCAAAAGCATACTTCTCCTCACAACTAAGATGTGAAATTGAACACCCTAGAGTGGAGGTGATGCCTCAGTGGTTAATTTAACGGAGAAGCCACTTTCAGATGCAGAATTACATGAGAGCAGTCTGTTCTGTTATTATTATTTGTGTATTTTAATTTGCAATCTTTCATATACTGATTTCTCATGTGACATGTTGGGCAGTGATAGCAAAAAGGATTCATCATTAAATGTCTTGAAAAATACAGTAAAATGTAAAATCACTTGTCTTTATTCTATCTGTGCAGTACTGACGTATTTTATTTTCTGCGGTGTCGCTCATCAGTTATTCCACTTAGTGACATGCTAGAAACTGTGATTTTATTTTTGTAATGGTATTTATTAACAGCATACGACTATTTGTCTTTTGAACTCCTTACCTTTCTAATTTGAGTCCATCATTTGACTTCCAACAAGGTTCTAGGAGTTGCTTCGTTTTCAGCACTCTGATATCTTCCAATAGCTATATTTTTTTGATTCCGTTAGTATCTTTTATTGATTTGGGGGCATCTATGCAGTTTATTTTAAATATCCACCTCAACATTATATGGTGGTTGAAGATAATCCTGAAGTCCATAAGTATGAATTGTTCAGAAGTCTAAGCGATATCCAAGTTTGGGGTCTATATGTCTGAACATGCATAAATATGCATGCTTTATAGTTACTATTTATGTTTATTTATGTGTAGTTGTTACATATACATAGAGAGGGGGAAAAAAGTTTTTTTCAAATGAGTATGAAGACTTTTCCTTAAAAATACGATAGGATAATAACATATAGAGGAAATGTTACTAATGTCTGAATTGTAGAATGTGAGGACTGTAAAGGTTTCAAAAGTTCATCTAAAATATTTATATTTGTCAGAAAATTATATTTATTATCAATTAACTTTTATTTTCCTGTGTATACAGGTACATCTGTTCTACAGGTGACAGCCACAGATGCAGATGACCCTACATATGGAAACAGTGCCAGAGTAGTGTACAGCATTCTTCAGGGACAGCCATATTTCTCTGTTGACCCTAAAACAGGTGGGAATTTTGTGTTTCTGTCAGTGTAATTTGACTAATATGTTGCAGTTAACTAAGTCTAGTGGATTAAATCCAATGCACAAAACACGGGTGGGTGGGTTGTGTTTTTTTTAAAATTCCTATTATATCCTACTTCTTGCTTTAAGACTATGAAATTTATGAGTTGCTGTGTTTTGCTGAGTACTATAATAAGCCTACTGTGTACAGAATTAATTCTGCATCATGCCATGATGTGAGCCATTCAGCCAAACTGGAATAGCATTTTTTCATCTTTTCAAGCCTCTGTTTAGGAAGTGACTCAAGTGTGCCTAATACTTTATGATTCTAAATGCCATATTTTTCCTGAGGCGTAGACTTGGGAGGATTATTGAATGTGTACTTCAACACATATACCATAATAAATTAGTATCTTTCTTGTATTTATAAAACTGTAGTATTGCCATTTTACTGAAAATTCATTCTATGATTCAAGAAGTAGAATTAGCTGAAATATTTATGCTTAAACTCTGTGCATCGCCCTCTCCTTTTTTCTACAAAATGTAAATTATGTATAATGAATCCAAATTGGTTTCTTTAAAAAGAGAAGTCTCTTTTGGGGATGGGGGTTGTAACTAGTTTTGGATTTTCTGAAGAGCATTATCTTGAATATTAATATGATGATATATTTTTAGTACACATCTGTAGTCCTTAATAATGAGGAAAGATAATGTAATAAATTCCTTTTTTCATCTGACTTTTGTAACTGTTTTTCCCTATCTATATCAAAGCTTTAATACTGAGGGGAAAGAATGAAGTACAGTGATACCTATACTTAACTGTAGGGAAGAATATTGATTTTTAAAATGTGCTGAAGTGAAGTAAGTATAGTGTAAATAATTTTCTTTGTAATGTTTTTACATTTAAGTGTCTTTGCTTGTGTACATTAGTCTCTGTGGAGGTATACGCTTGCTTCATTACAAAAGAAGTGTGTCTGTGCCATCTCAGCTAGCTTTGAGGTTAGGCTAGCTTTGAGTAGGAGGCTGGACACAATGACCCCCAGGGGTCTCTCTCAACCTAAATTATTCTATAAATTTGTGAGCTCATGTTAGAAAAGCCTAAGAGTGCAAAGCCTGACAGGATCATGTTGGAGGACTATATAAGGTGCAGGGGGGCAAACTTGATGCAGGCTTCATGGTGTTTCAGGAACGACTGCTGGCACACACCTTACCCAGCCGTGTGCGAGAACAGTCTGGCAGGATACTGTCTGGCACAGGCTAAAACCACTCTGGGGCACATGTTAACGACTAAGAGGTATGGAAAATCAGTGGTACAGTGCTCAAGATCTCTCTGCCCTTGTGCTACTTAGAAATACAACCCTGGTCTCCATTTCTACTTCTGTTTTGGCAGTCTGAGGCAATGGCCTATAATTTTTTATTTTGATAATGGTTTGGCACTGGTAGTCTGGAGCTGCTATTCAGTCAGTGAAGAATCATAATGGATGTTCTCAGTATTAGGTCTGTATCACAAAAGAAAATAGTGTTGTTATGTCACTGTTTGTATGTTATAAAGAAAGCAGATCTGAGTGTATTTTCAATCCCCAAGCCTTAGGCTTTGACAGGGATGTAATAACATCTTATGAACTTAAACTGTATTTAATATGTATACAGTATATGAAAATGATGCTCATACCTTAGTCTATTAAAATGGCAAAAGAATAAATATCTTATGAGGTAAGTAGACAGTGAAACGGTGAAAAAATGGAGAAGGCTTTTTGATTTGATAAGTTGTCTTTTTATAATTGCAGAATAGCAGTTAATTTAATTTGGCGTGATGTAATGGGAAGAAGTAAAATATTGGAAATGATAGGAAAGTCTTGAAGAATAGAGTGTTTCACTATGAAATTTCACTTTGAATTTCTGGATTTTAAGACTCATTTTCTAAAAACATCACTCTTCTGAATTTGGAAGCGTTTCTGTGACCTATTTTTCCTAAGGCTTCAATTGTTCAATTCCATCTTAATTACATTTTATCTGGAAGTTTTCTGAATTTACACTGACATGCACAAACTTCCTTTACAAGAAAGGAGGGACAAAACAGGGAAAAAGAGAAAGGTCCCAACATTCTAGACTGAATGTGATGTTTGTGAGGCCTAAGATCTTTTATGGCTATCAGTAAAACTTCTTGGAGCTATCAGATGCAGACATCAAACTATTCATAGATCTAGTGTGAATACTTATCTTAAAAAGTCCCCTGCTCAAGCTTAGTGCTGCCTAAACTTGGTTTTAAACAACTTACTACCTGAAGACTTTTAAGTTCTGGATTTTTAGGAGCTTAGTTTAGAATAGTTTACATAGGATTTTAGAACTCATACATTTAAAATATTAGTGGGCCAGCATCAAATTACAAACTTGGAAGTAAAAAAAAGATCTGTTCTTGGCAGGAGAACATCTTTGTTAGCTTATCTGATAAAAGGCTCCTCTCCACCTACCCAAATGAGGGCGGAGGTGGAGTGCTGGGAGAGTAATCCCCCTGCCCTAATCAGACACTCCAGCCTGGGCTCCTCCTAAGGTTGTCCCAGGAGAGCCTCAGCTCCATGGGCTGGGTGTAAAACCCATCATGAGGAGACAACAAGAGATGCTGATCTGATCACTCTACAGGCTGAGGGAGCTACTGCCTACAGGAGTATGGGATATGTCATGGGATGCAGGGAAGAGCTTTATGGTATTGTGCTAGACTTGTTACTGGATATTTAGGGAAAGGACCGTAGGCAGGGAAAGGGAGGGATTGAGACAGATTAGAGAGGAAAAAGCGAGGGAAAATAGAGGGATAAGTGGATAAAAGGGTCCAGTCGTGTGTAAACAGCCTCTTGCACAGCACCATTGCCTGGTCATGCCCTGTGCTTGATCAGCACAGTCTGTCCTGTCTTATTATGTTCCATTTCTGTTTTCCTGACTCTATCTGTATGCATGTGTGCATGGAGATTTGAGTGCCAGCAAATGGAGTTGGACCATGGGTCAGGGGGGCCTGTGTGTCTATGGTACCAACAAACTGGAGAGTGCAGAGTGTGTGCTTATTACATGGATGTCTATGTCAGTGTGGGATCACTACTGAGTCTCAGGCTGGAGAAGCCAGCGAGTTGGAGTGGCTTGGTCAGCAGCTGGAGAGGCCAAGAAGTCCAGACCAGTCTGGAGCAACTATGTGATCTGTGGGTTGACTGAGGCCTGTGGCATCTGTGTGTCTATGTGCATGAGGCAAGGGGAGGCCAGGGACCCAGGAGACAGCTCCTGGATAGCCTAGCTACCAAAGCCAACTACTAGGGGCTCGTAATGTATATGTGGGGTTGTCATCAGGCACTGGGGGTCCAGGGACAGTTGCTGGATATGCTCAGTGTGTGAGGCCCATTACTGGGGGATCCATAGTGTGCTGGGGTGAGTGAGGATGTGTGAGTGTGTCGAGGATTAACAGGGGTCTGTACCTGCAGCTGGAGGCAAGCTGCAGGCCTTGGACTGGTATGTCCGGGTGCCAGCAAGTGTGACGACTGGGGATCCAGGTGCCAGCTACTGTATAGACCAAGTGTCTAAGGCAAGTTACCAGAGAGATCCATGCTGAGTACATGTGTATATTTCCAACTATAAACTGTCCTTCCGCTTGATCATCTGGAGAAGGATGAGGCCATTTGTGCCATTTGTGTTTGAGCACTGAGTGTTTCAATCTATATATCACCTGCTGCATGAATGTATTGCATCTGTGTGTGTGCCTCTTAACGCACACTCAGCCTCACTACTGCTTCCAAATCATGGATTAAAAACAGGGGGCTGCAGCAACCTCATCTCCATCAGGCTATCAGATTTGGCAGCTCCCAGCAATCTTTAGTTTTAAGTTGGTTGGCTCTAGGGCCTCTGGTTTTTTTTATTGCATTTTGTTTTCTCCCCTGGGAAGAAGGAATTCTAAACTGTGTAGAAATTTGCTGCAACTATGTTGTTATGACTGTGAATGGCAGAACTACTGTCCGTGCATAACGTAAAGTGTAAGATTTTCAAAATCCTTTGAACTTGAATGACTTTCTATAAAGTGTTTTATATTTGTGTTTATTAATTTTTTATTAACTTTAATGATTAGCTGTGGGATGTAATAGTATTTAGCTATGCAATTAGTAGTTAGCGGTGACAGCCTTTGCTCGTTTCTGTTTGCTTTCCTCCCCAATTGCAGCAAAACATTCTGCTGAATTTTTATAAATAAGTATGTATTAGTAATGCTGACATAAGAAAGGGATGTCTGTGTCTAGATCCTAGGTATATTTGCAAAGGTTATGTGTATTGGATTATATTATTTTTAATATCAAAATATTCAGGGAACACAAGAAAACATGAGTCACTTATCCTTTTAGAGTACCATTAACCTCACTGTAAAAATAAAATAAAAAGTATGTAAAAATAAAATAGTGAAGAATTGAGAAAATAATTTATTAATATACTTAGTATTTCAGTATTGTTCCCCCCCCCCCCTCCATAGAACTTTGAACTTCTTTTGAAATGCCCAAATATATTTGAAAACTTTTCCTGGGAGTTTGAGTGACAAATTTAATACCCCACCTTTCCCAAACCATGAGGTCTTTTGAGCCATGAACTTTATGTAGGGTCTAACCTTGTTTGTTCTTTCCTTATGTCAAGTGTGGCTCATCAAACAGCAACAGTCAACATTTGTCTGGTAACCCAACCCCAGAAGCTCATTTTTTTCCTGAGAAAACCTCAAATTAGATTATGTGCTTTTTCTAGCAGCTATAGCAGCCCACTTTCAGTTGCCACATGCTTCTGGAATGAAAGTGAAACCTGTAGTCCAATTCCACTGCTTACGTAGTAAACCTGTGTCTGGAGGATGTTAGCTGCACACAGCTCTTCCCAGATGCATCAATCTTAATGAACAGAATTTAGAGAGTGAATTAATCTGTGCGGCATTTGTCCTTTCAAATCAGCAGTTCTGGTTGTAACTGTGATGAAATAAGAGATAAAACCTTCATTCAC